TTTTAAAATTATTATTGTGTAAGTTATAATTACAATTGTTAAATTATATTTAAATTTGTAATGATTGTCGAGATGATGTCGAAATCAGATAATGCTGAAATTTGGTCTTGACTTGAAAATATAAATCCTACTAAAATTCACATATACTTTTATATTATAAACTCTAACCCTAAATCCAGTTTAATTAAACTCCGTAACATGTTTCACAGTTTCGCAAAAAAAACTAAAATTACCCGATATTATATATATTTACGACAATTTTTCAATTCTTAGACATAAAAAAAAAGCGCAAAAAAATTTTACGTCACTTAAAAAATACCGGAGCGATTATTATTGAATTCCCTTTTATATATCTTGAAACATTTGCAAAAAATAAAATAAAAAAAAAACAAATAATGACGCAACCAAGGAGGATTCAGAAGGATGAATATTCTGTGATAAAGTTTTGGGAGTATAAAGATTTACTCATAATTTCATGTGAAAAAAATGGTTGGTCTCCAAAGGCAAGATCGTTCAGCAATGGTAAGCTTATTCCAAATTATTCAGTATGATTTATTTTAGAAAATAAAATGTTCTAAGTTTGAATTTTTTGCATTTTCTTTTATAAATTAATAGATACTGAAGATTCAATATCTGTTAATTTTGAATTGGGTAAACAATATTCTCAAGCTAAAGAATTTTATTTCTTTGGTGTTTTTGATGGACATGGAGGTATTAATTTTTATTCATTTGAATATTTAAAAGTATATTAGATGATATAAAATCTTCATATTTGAAATTTTTTAAAATAGTAAATGGATTAGTGAATGGAAAGAAACACCTTTCAGAGATATGTGCTGAACAGCTACCAAATAATATTGCCAAAAATTTATCAAGCAAATCTAAAAACAAAGAAGAAAATATCATAAATGCTATAAATAAAGGATTTAAAGAAACAGAACAATATATGAAATCAAGTACTTATTTTATCCGTATATAAATAGTTTTAGATGATAATTTTTATATTTGTTTATTTGCTTAGCAACTGATTAATTTCTTTATCAGAGCTTGTAAAAGAATCACGGGATGCCGGATGCACAGCACTAATAGCAGTATTAGCACCTTCAAAAGAATTATTTATTGTACGTAAATTTTAATAATGTAGTGTTTTAACCTTATAATTTATTTTAACAAAGTATGTATATTTATTAATTAAATTAATACTTTAATGTTTTAGGCAAATTTAGGAGATTCAACTGGTTTTATTTCATCAAATAAAGTGTTTTCTGCTCCAATTACAAAAGAACATGATGTACATAATAAAGGTATCTAGGATTCTACATTATATTTATTTTTTTTACATTAATTTAATTTTATAATAATTTTATTTAGCTGAAATTTTAAGGTTAAGGCAACAAAAAAGGGAAAAAGATGGTGTAGGTTTTTCAATTTATAGATTGGCTCCTGGACGAAGAGAAAAATCTTGGGCATGTAAGTACAAAATTAAAATTATTATAAAAATACAAAAATATAGTTGAAATAATCATATTAATTAAATTTAAAATTAATATTAATAGTGGATAATACATTTAGTCGTGGAATGCAGTATACACGTTCATTTGGAGATTTTTATATTAAAGAGAAGGGTCCAAAAAGTTTAATATGTAAATTAAAATTTTATAATTAATTTTTTTTTACGTATAATTTGCTTAAATTTTATTATTTTAATATTAGCTGAGCCAGAAATTACAGAGAAATATAATACAAAAGAATTAAATCTACTTGTTCTTTGCTCTGATGGTAAATTTTTATTATTTAACTTTTAAAACATACATAAATTCTAATAAAAATTTTTCATACAGGTATTACAAATCGTCTTAGAGCATATAGAAGAATGCCAACACAAGTGTTATTAAGTTATATTAAACAACACATAAATTCGGCAAATCCACTAAAGGCAGCTTGTGATGAATTAGTCAGACTTTGTGATTTAGTGTCTCAATCAGGATTTTGTATTGATGATATGTCAATTTTAGTAATAGTATTTTTAAATGGTAAAACATTAAAAAAATGGTGTGAAGATGCAACTAAACATGCTGAAAATCCTGAAGATTGGTTGCAATATAAACCAAGGGATGATGATGATATTTCGGACATTTCTGAAGAAGATTTGGGTGAAGTTGAATCTCCAAAAAGCAATAATATTAATTTTGATATTTATGATACTTCAAATCAGTATTCTATTGAAGAGGCTGAAGAATTTGCTGATATGACTATTCCTGATATTTAAAATTGTATAATTGTTCAAGTATGATTATATAACTAGCAAATATTATATAGTTAGACCTTTATAAATAATCTTGAAATCAAATCATTAATATGCATTTAAAAAGAGTGTACATATAGAAAAAGTAATTTTGTAAGTTTTGTTCAAAATACAGTTATGAAAGGGTGAACATGTATAGCAATATATTTGTAAAGAACTTTCACAATATTGTTTAAGCAACGTGTGGTCAGCCCTCTAGTTTCTAAAGTTAAGAATTTTACTTCAGACCATTGTGCGGGATTAGAATTCGAGTGTGGTTTTGAGTAATTCCTCATCAAGTGACTTCATCCCAAATTTTCGTTCATCTATTTGTAAATTGTCAAGTCTCAAAAGGAGGTCAGAGCCTTTTCGAAAAATTTTCGACGCATCTACGATGAATGTGCGTTTGCCAAAATCAACTAATTCTTCAAGATCAAATTCATTAACACTAGCTAAACATGAGGATTGTAGATGCATCGATATTATCAAATAGGCTATGCTATCATAAATATATAATTTAGTAAAAAGATGCTTAAAATTATGCTTAATAATTGTCGGGATGATGTTGAAATTTGAAATTATTTTAATATGAAATTTTGAATTTTGGGGTCTTTTTTCTAGTTTTTTTTTTTATGATGGAGTTAGGATTAAACTGGATTTAGGGTTAGAGTTTATAATATAAAAGTATATGTGAATTTTAGTAGGATTTATATTTTCAAGTCA